ATTCAAAAATTAGCAAAATCGGACAGGAACTCGATTTTATATGAATTTATTACGAAACAGCCCAGAATTAATTTTCAAGTTTTGACAAGGCTACAGGCCATATAAAATTCTAAAATTTTAACCACAAGTACTACAATTGCAACATTACAACATATCCAAAAATCAGAATTTTTGGAGCAATACACGAATTATAGTGATTTTAGCAAAAATGGACTGCAGCATAATTTTCAAAAATCCATATCTTACAATATACACATCAAAACGACGCAAGGCCAAAGCCATTGCATCAAAGACATTCCCAAGTCCAATAATCCACAATACTTCCACGGGAATTAACAAACTAACCACAGTTCGACAATTTTTCAAAGTGACGGCAATCACTTTGATATCCATTGGCAATTATGTATCAATAATTCCGCAAACACTTATCTAAGGCACGTAATCAATTTGAAACTCAATCGATCAGCAAATTTACACGCAATATAACACCATAACATAAATCACGGATTTAACAAGGTGAGGTTCGAGCTTAGGTACCATTTTTGGGACACATTCGAAATTGGAACGAAAGGAACGGTACGACGGTGGGCTCGACAGCTTTGCCTCATCTCGCGGAGGAGGAGCAGCGGCTATCGGGTCTCGTTGGAGGCTGCTGGTTGCTGCGAGGGTCGCGGCGAAGGTTCACGGCTGCTGCGATCAAGCCCGGGACAGGGCGGCACGCGGGGACGACAATTTCGACAATAAACGGCGGGCAGCAGGCTTCGGTGATTCACGACCGAGAAACTGAACAGAAACACAAGAGGAACAGCGGCAAGGGTCGAACGGACCATACGTACGCTCCGACGGGGCTCGACGGGACTCAATGGCTACATTCGGCACTCCGACGGGACTCGACGGGAGTCGACGGTTAGAAACTCACGAGCAAAGGATGGAGGGCAATTTGGTGGTTGTCTGCTGGTGTTCTCGCCGGAATAACTTGAACAATGGTGGTCCTGGTGATGGCGACGGGCAGCAACACGAGATGACGATCAATATGTGGTCGCGGTTCGCTACAAAAGCTTGCAGCGGTCACGATTGCCAGATTATGGGGAGGGGGCGACTGGTCCTGCTCGCGATGGTTGGCTAACTTGACGGCGATCGGCGATGGGACCTGATTGTGGTGACGACAACCAACAGAGAAGGGGATGGCGATAAAGGATGAACTAGCCGGAGATTGCTGTGCGAGGTCGCCGGAAAGCTTGAATATGGTCTGCGTGCGTGAACGGAGGTGATGGAGAAGAGGACGATCAATTGGTGATGATGATGACCTACGTTTCTGATGGCTTACGCGCAGATGATGGTGATAACAGCAGGATGATGATCGCGAGATTATCATGATAGGATGATGGTGAAGGATTTCTGCGATTATCGATTGAGGGAGAAGAAGATTTCTCTGTCGCGATGAAGAGAACCGAACCGATGAACACAAATAAAAGCTGCGGGCAATGCTATTAATCTACTAAGGGAAAAACCGACTTATTTATATACATAGCATTAGGGTTTTTTTTTTCAAGACCATACGTACAAGGAAAGGAAAAACCGAGCCCGATGGGCGACAGTTCGGCTCGGGATGTGCGGTCAAATGGTTCAGGCTGGAACTCGGTTCATTGATAAAAATTAATCGAAGCTCGATTATGGACGAACGGTAAATAAAATAAAATCGGGATATTATTATATATATATATATATATAACACATTTTAATGAAATATAATACACATAATAATATTTAGTAATACACATTAATCACATTTAATCAATTAGGCACATTAGACAATTATATAAATATTATTAATAATAATAATAACAATCAATTAACAATTAAAAGAACTTTGGCATTCAGCAATTATATTTAGAAAAATAATAATAATAACAATAATCAAATAGGCAATTGGATAATAATAATAATGATAACAGAGACAATAAATAGTTGATTTTTTTTTTTTGATTTGATTTATTATAATTATTCCATATTCAAACGGATTGTATTTGGTTCATACGATTAAACCAAAATCGACTAACGTTTTTTTTTTTTTTTTTAACGATCGGGTACTCCAACCTTTTATTTAAGCCGACACCGCGACTAGCAAAAATTATTATAATAAATAATATTCGATAAATAGAATATTCCGAGAAGTTCTATAAATCGAACGGGGCGTTACAATATTATCAATAAATAAATATTTAATACATTAAGATTTTAATCCTCACTATTTATTTATTTCTCACTAATTAATTCTCCCTATTTAATACATTAAAATTTTATTTCTTCGAGAAAAAGACATTTGTCTTTGCGCGGCTGACCTTTAGCGGACGAGAAGAAAAGTTCAGAGAAGGCCGGAAAGAGTCAAAGAAGAGGCAGTGAAGAAGGAAATGGGTCTACTTATCGGTTTCCCAAACATATTCATCTAAGAAAGAAACATGTTTATCTTATAATTTAACATCTTATAACATAACATCTTCATCTTATAATTTGATATGTTCATTTTACAATGAAACATATTATCATGTTAAGAAAACATATTACGTACAAAATCAACTTATTCATCTTATACAAAATCAACATATTCATCGTGTTAATAAACACGTTCATCTAAGAAAGAATCATGTTTATCTTATAATTTAACTGATAATAAAACATATTCATCTTATAACATATGTTCATCTACCTTTCATCTTACCTACTCTGCGTGTGGTTAAGACAAAATATTGAAATGAATTCACGGGCCTATATAGGAAGTGCGTTTCACCTAACGCCCTGACACACCTAGCAAAGTGTGTTAGGACACACCTAATTATTTGCGACATGCAAGACCCAATCAATTCCCACGAGGAAATCCAGAAAGCAAAACCTATCTTCAATCTCCGCCAATGGCAATCCTCCACGTGGATAGAGAATGGCACACCTCAGCTGATCATCTTCTTCGTATCGTACCGATGTGCGTGACAGTCACTTAAGACTCACCTCCATAGCAAAAGGACACTCCTTTTAGTTGCCCCACGAAACCTCTCACTTTTTGCTTGACTTTTCGCACTTTTTTCTCCCAACTAGCAAACACTACACCAAAAAAATCTCATCGCCGATCAAATTATATTCGAAACGGCAGCCTCGATGAACACTAAACGGCGCCACACAGCACGCAAATTGAAAGCCAAAAGGCCCAAATTCCTCAGCCTCCGCCTCCAATTCCCGGCGGATGAGGCCAAACAGATCGAAGTACCCGCGAAGGCGGATGCGACCTCCGACCAACTCACACTCTTCCCGCTCCAGCCAGAAAATCAAGCAGAAGAGAGAGAAAACAACGACCACGAGAACGTCGCCTTCTTCTTCTCCGCCGCGGACGGCGGTGCCTCCACCCTCACCGGCCTTCTCGACGCTTCCACCGCCGCTGAGTCCATTTCCTCTCACACTAACAACAATAGCTCCAGGTAACGAGTTCGATTTTCCACGATTTCACTCTGCTGCGTAACCACAGGTCCACAAGCAACAATTATTGGTTATTTAGTTAGCCGTGAGGCAAGATCTATAGAGAATAGTGTAACTCTCTGTTCATACTTAACTCAATGATTGGTTATTTCAGGCTTGATTATTTGCCACCGCGATCTCCGGCCTCTCTGACGCAGGCGTACGGCGAGGAGAGGGCGGCGCTCGAGCGGAACGCGCTGAGGATCAGAGATCGGGACTCGAGCGAGGAGAAGTGGGTGTGCTACTCGGAGGTTGTGAAGGAGGAAGAGGTGACTAGCTCCGCCGTGGATCCGCGGCGGCCAGCAGCGATCCGGCGGATGTCGTTGAAGCTGGATTACGAGGAGATCATGAACGCGTGGTCCAACAAAGGCCCGTTGTATATCGACGCAGCGGATAATTCTCAGATCGTCCCTGACATTGCCCATCATTTTCTCTCGCAGGAGCCGTCCAATTATAGCGTAAGATTTGGCACACTTTTCCAGATCAAATTAACTACTATTTTTTTTAGTTATCACGTGTTTGACTTATGTGATTATTTAATTCATAATCGTCCCACGTGATTTCTTATTAAGATTTTATTATTTTCTTAAGGAAAAAAAAATGTGCAGAATGTGCCCTGAAGTGTGATTGATGATTAAGATTTTATTATATTCTTAAGCAAAATGTTCAGAATATGCATTTAAGATAAAAATTTTAAGTACCATTGGAGATGTTCTAAGATAACCGACATTAAATTTTTAAGAAATATCGATGTAATATCGAGTCTTCCTGTTATTTTTAGAAGTTATTGACAAAAACCTTCAAGTTATACCGTAGAATGATGTATACTAGCACGTGCACGATTCTTATCTTGAGCTTTACAGTACCGTTTGTAGTCTATAAACGAAACGGCTACGATTTTCTTGTTGTCAATTGTTGAGTATGTCAGGTATTATTATGTTGACTCTTCATTGAGCTTGCAAGAAGAGATAATCCTCAGTAATTGCTAAAATTACCTTGAAGTCTAGCCTAACAGCAAAAAAATTTGAACTATCCTTTAAAAACAAACACCTCAGTGACATTTTATTTTTGAGCATTTATAAGGTAATTTCAAAGCCTTGGGAGTTTGTAACTACACATACATGATTTGCGGGACTGTTCATCAAATTTTGTTATGTTAATCATTCCTAACGAAAATAAGAGCATGCTCGTATCACGCTTTGGTAAAAATACCTATTTCCAAGTAGCTCTATCCATATGTTGATGTTAGCAATAATAGCTATTGATTGGCAGGGATTAAACTCGGGATGTAATGGGGGATCGTGGATAGTACCCCAAATCACGGGAGACATTGAGAAAGGCGAGATGATGAAAATGAGATGTAACGATGATCATGAGCTGAAGATGGGACAGAGAGAGGCAAGTGTGCTGAGGTACAAGGAGAAAAGGCGAAATAGGCTCTTTTCGAAAAAGATACGCTATCAAGTTAGAAAGCTCAACGCTGAAAAACGCCCTCGACTTAAGGTACACCCTTTTTTTCACGTTTCGTTTTCTAGTCTTGAAAATTTTGCTATTTGCCCACATTATACAACTATGTTTTGTAATACACCTGATATTTTGCCTTACCATTTTAAACTAAAATAAATCAAACTAAATTTGAGGCTACTTCTAATTATCCATTTTGGCAGGGTCGATTTGTGAAGAGAAGTTGAGGAATGAGCTGCACGTTTATCAAATGATCACTTCGTTTTTATTTATATATATATTTTTTTTCCTGTTTGTACTCCCTTCACATGTAAAGGGCCAAAGGCACTTGAATAATAAAGGATTTTATTTTTTATTTTTTTTTTGTCCAAATTTTATCCAAAATTAAGGAAAAAAAAAAAAAAAAAGAAACACTAACCAAGTTCAGAAGTAGACACAAAGATACATGAAGTCAACACAACAAGGATGCCCTACTTAAAAAACACTATTTGAAGCTCCTGATGAGATATAAGCAAAGAGATTAAATACACATCAAATACCAATTACCAAATAAATCAAATTTATAAAACTAATCACCAGTTTGCAATACTCGAGCGCGCACAATCCATCGAACTGGATCAGATACATCAAATAAACATTTTGTAGTCTCCACAACAGACCAAGTAAAGCATACAGTTAATCCCAATATGGACCATCACTCGGAAGACGAGGATAATAAAATATACAGACATACAAGAACTGCATGGTAAATTATGATGTTCAAAGTTTGCATCTTAATGAACTGTTCGACTCGGTAACTAAATTCATAAACATTTTACATCAAGTAACCTGCCTACACCTACATGAGAAGTTTCATCTACAAACAACATACACTGATAAAGCAAATAACCAAACAGATCAGCTGCAACTAAATGCTCAAAACCCTCGACAGTAACACGGAATTGACAACAGAGCAAAGAAATATAAAGTGTTACTAAGCTGTACATTACCACTGAAACAAGATATCAATTTACTTAAGTAAACATATTAACTTAAGCAGATGAGCTTCACCGTCAAAAAAGTTAATTCTCTTCTCAACACAAAAAAGCCTCACCCTTTTTTGTTTCATCACCATACTAAAAAAAACTATCCCAATTCAAATATCGGTCACAGAATACGTTATAAGCGCATAAAAATCAAATATTGTTTCATATTACAGTCAACCATTACGTTATGAGAAAATTTGCTGCATTAAGAATCATAGATACACCTACAGAAAATGGCTAGCAATGCTTGAACAAAGACAACGAGGCAGCACATTGAAACAAACTGGCTACATATACCGAAAAACACTAGCAAATATCACAAGCCAAGTTCCTAAATTCTCTTAAAAATAACAAGTGAACTAGGAACAGAGAAAATCCCAGAAATTAGTAGTCAAAGTTTCTACATTGTACTGAAAAGAGCAAGTGCCAACCAGAGTAAATCCCCGGAATCAAAAGTAAAGTTCCTACTTTCTACAGATTTAACAAGTGCAGAGCAAATCCCATAAACCACTAGTCAAGGTCCAACAATCTTCAGGAAATAACAAAAGCAACTAGGACCAGAGAGAATCCCAAACACCAAGCTCCCGAAAGTCAAAACTACAAAGCAACCCCGAACTCAAAACTCTCGTTGGACACCAGCAGATTAAATAGTGTCACATCTTCGAACGACAAAGCCAGCTGCCTCGCCTGGGGCCTGACCTCCAGAACCCTTTTGTTGTGCCGGGCTACTGATTCTCGAAATGTGGGGGCTCAGCAATGGCTCATAAATAGATAATGTCCCCTGCTCATCGAATATGTCAAGGAGAACATCAAAATAAATCCCAAGGACCTCCATATGATCACAAACAGAGAACACAAAAATAAAACCAAAACCCCTCCATACGTAACCCTCCATATATATAGGGAATCAAATTAAACCCCCAAAACCACTCCATGTATCGAGAGAAAATCAAAATTTCAGACATGTATACAGAAAATTTATTCAAGAACATCAAAATTCACACACGCGCGTATACCTTACACAAGTGGTCCCCCGAGACAAGCCACCCAGCAATGAAAAAGTTCGATAACCTGCCCCACACACCAGCCATGACATCCCTCACTAGCCACACAACCTCTGGAAACTCAGGCAGCTTCACCTTGGCCTCAAAATGCCTCAAAAGCTTGATCCAGTCCTCCGAATACAGGACGGAATATACATATATCAACTTGAAGGCCACTCCTGATTTTTCGTACTTGTAGGCAACAAATAGCAACACGTTCAAGACAACTGGGAGACATGTAATTACCAGGTCCAGATCATCAGGTTGAACATGACCAGGTTCCATTCATCCTCGAAGTAGAAGGGCAACCCAATGGCAACAGAGACAAATGAAGTCTCCAGCAAGAACCCAACAAATTGTCCCAGCTCCATTTTCCGAATTTGATGGGTAAACGGCAGCAGGAGTAGGATGAAGATGTACGCTGAGGTGCTTATTACGACTTTCAGCAGCTTCAACCGGCTAATTTCTCCATGGGGAGCATCCCGCGCGAGCTGACAACACACCAGAGCAAGGAAAGCCAGTGACGCCCCGACACTCCAGCGCAGCCTCCTGCTGATTTCACTAAAAACGAACAAACAAATGAATAGTTACGCAGCAGTAAAATAAAGGCGATGCGAAATTTGAAATTGAATTTATTTGTTTGTTTATTTTCTTCGATTACGGAGTAACTAATCGAACCACTTACCCTCGCTCGGCTGCAGCTAGGGTTCGTGCTGAGTCGGAAGGAGGCTGCGGGATTTTTTTGAACGAGAGATTCATAGGCGGAGGAAGGACACGCCGGTCATCGGAGTCGGCCTGGGGTTGTTCGTGGCTGAGCGGTGGTCCTTCAGTCGTCGGTAGCGAGCGGATATGGTTCTTCATTGCGGCGAGGTTTGAATCGTTCGGTGCCATCTCAGGGACGCCGCCGCTGGCCGGTGCGCCGGTGGGGGAGGGTGAGCGGAGCATAGTTGGTGCCATGAAGCTTGCTGCAAGTAGATGAAGTACTGTGGATTAGAGAAATATGATGAAATAATCTGAAAGAAAGCCATCGATTTTATTTATACCACAAATCCCTTGCAGATGATGGGTCGCTTATGACAATTTTGGGCTTGAAGATGTTGGGCCAATATCTGGGCCATGGATAAATAATTATAATTAGTAATTTTAAATATAATAATTATAATTATAATTTTAAATATAATTTATTTAATTGATTATTATAATATTATTATATATTTGCACAGCGACCCCAATTTTTGTTCAAAGTGATTGCACAATTTGAAGAATGTCGAATTATAAATGAGAAATTTACTCCTTCTACTACACCTTTTAACATTATTTGTAAAAATACAAAAATCAAAACTCTTCTTTGTAAATACGAATGTGTTTAGTTTCAATTAAATATGTAATTGGTGGTTATGGGCAGTTTAAAATTATTAATCACAATCATCATGAAGACACAATTAATTGGTCAAACTAGAACAAGAATATCGGGAACCATGATAATCCATATATTACCATTATACAACCGCTAAAAAAGTAAAAGAAAAGATTTTATTTCTCTCACCAAATCACGACCTTTGTGTTTTTTCACCTCATACAAGACAGAAGACGGAAAAGAAAAAAAAATCTATAGAACACTCAAACTCCATCTTCCTCCATAAATTTAACAATTGCCAATAAAAAAACAAGATGTCAATCATCACAATAGTGAAGATGAAGTTTGATAACTCGCTCACTATCTCGTCTAAAAACTAAAAATGCATTCGAGCATAAAATCATCTAAAAGAAGCCGGTCGCCGCCGCTATAAGTTGAGCCATGAATCTAAGATGTTGCTCCAAATATTTAATTCTTAACCGAGAGCCAAGCGGGACCACGTAATCCTCTGCCGCCGCCGCTGGCCGTCGCATCGTCTTTCGTCACTCTTTGGCAAGATTCTCAACCGAGAGCCAAGCGGTATACCACCACACTCCTCCGTCGTTGGTCATCGCATCGTCTGTCGATCTGCCACCCCTTGATTCTTCTTATTTTAACAAGAGTACGACTCAATATTTGGTTTAGATTAGATAAGTTTAATTGTACATGTGTCTTAGTTGTATGAGGTTTTGTGTTTATATATTGTTTGTTTATCTTAAGTTTAATTATATTGCACTCAATCATAATGTTGTGTTATGTTTTATCTCGTTTGTGTTGTTTACATGTTGTTTATCTTATATATACTATACAGTTAATTTACAAGAATTTTACATGTTGTTTATCTTATGTATATATACAGTTTATCTATACACAATATATATTGTATTGTTTTTTGAAGTGCATAAAGTTATTGATTGAACTTTGTAAATGTCATGTAAAGTTGAAATATGTTTGTTGACATCTGAGTTAGTCGACAGGAGACCGGAATGACAATTCTAAAAGCTGGACTGGGAACCCGGTCAAATGTGCAAGTGCCGAGCAGATTTCGAGAATAAAGTAATTGCCGCTGCCGCATAATGCCACCCCCGAGGTCGGCACCCAACCCTCTCATAAGACGATGCCGACCTCGCCAGGTGCCGTCCTGAAAGGAGGATCATGAAGACCGTATGAAGAAAAAATGCTCGGTGAAGCCCGCAGACCGATTGGGCATGCCGGTGCAGATGACGAAAGAGGAAAAGCGTAGTTCCTAATTTTGTGCACGACGCCACAAAGGAGTGTAGACATATACACAAATTATACGTTAGTTATACATAATCTATAATGTGTTTTTTTAGAGTTCGCAAAGTTGTTGGTTGAATTTTGTAAATGTCATGTAAAGTAGACATATGTTGTTTACCTTATGTATAACCACATTCGATTTAGATTTCACAAACATTCAGTATTGTGTATTATATTTTTTATCTCGTTTTAGTGTTGTTTATATGTTGTTTATCTTATGTATATATATATTCGGTTATTATTAGAGAATTGTCAATTGTGTATTATGTTTATCCCTTTTTAGTGTTGTTTACATGTTGTTTATCTTATATATATATATAAGGTTATTATTAGAGAACTGTCATATCATGTTATCTGATTTTTAGTGTTGTTTATATGTTGTTTATCTTATGTATATATACGGTTATTATTAGAAAACTGTCATATCATGTTTATCTGATGTATATATACATTATATTGAACATATATACAGATTAAGAAGAATATTTTTTTTTTTTTTTTGGCATTCCAATCCCTTAATTCTAAGCTTCAAATTTGTTATTTTTTTATTCGATTTTTCTGCTTGTTGGTTCTCTAGTCATAATGGAATTAAATGCATGACTTTTTATTGGAGAGAAAAACAACTTTATCCATAATTAAATTAAATGTATGAATTTTAAGTGGAGAGAAATAAATCCTAATTGAAGATAGAAATCTTGGAGAGAGACAAAGTCTCTGGGCAATTAATTCCGTCTTTATTGGCTGGAGATAGAAGGAAATCAAGAGGTGAGAGAACAAATCTCGTAGTTGTGAAAAGAAAACCAAAATCAAGTCTCATTTAAATTGAACTTTCTTAAAATCGTATATATGATAATATTTGTTATATATAATCTATACATGTAAGTTTCCCATTATAAATTGTATTCCAAAATTGGGCTCAATTTATAGATGATGACTAATGCGTTTATTATAAATTTGCATAATGTTGTAGCATCCTAAAGGGTCAAACAACCATATTTGGGAGCCAAAACAACAACAATTTCGTAATTATTAGTGATCATTAATCCAACCTCTCAACAAAAATGACAAGTGAACTAAGCAACACTAACACAGGCGTCCAGAAAAATACATTAATGCAATCCGTAAATTAAACCCAAAGACACCACATAATAAAAGCCACGTAACATGAGACCAAAACGTTTGCTCTAGCATTGTATATCAACCTAAGTTAACTATAATACAAACCAATGATCAAATGGCACATAATAAGAAGTATGTCATTCGAGTAAAAATGTGTGATGTAGGGGAAACGTACGAATGGGAAAGATAAACGATATATTCTCTCCATAAAACCAAACAAATCTTATTTCATTTCAATAATCAACTTCCCACTAACAAAGAAGCATGAGTCTTTAAATAAGACTCCTAAAGCCATAAACCTAACTTGTTCACCAATCTACTAAATAATAATAATAATAATAATAATAATAATAATAGATAAATAATAATAATAATAATAATACTTATTAAATAATCCACATTATTCTCCTCCAGTTCGGAAGGCTTCGCCCTCGAAGCACACCAAACGTGCCGACACCGGAGTCATACCCATGGCAATCATCATCCGACGTTTCCCCCTATCGATCACGAAAACTGAATGTCTCCCAACGTCCACCCTAGCCGACCCAAATAACATAGGACCCTTACTTCCAACTCACACACCCCCGAGCATCATAAAACAAAAAAATTCCCCTTCAAGGGGTATGAAATACGATGAGTATTAAGTATGCTATTTTTGTTGGATCATTTTTTTTAAAATAAATTACATATGAGAATATAAAATATGATGAGTATTAATGTATTACTAATTTGCCATTAAAAATAAGTCGAAGTAAGGGTCTTTTAGATAGTTCACTTGTTAATTAAAAATATAAAATAAGATGAGTATTATTGTATTACTATTTGCCATTAAAAATATGTCAAAGTAAGGATTTTTTAGGCAGTTCATATTTTTACAAAATCACTCGTCCTTCTAAATAGAATATAGATAGATTTATGTGCGACAAAATAACAATCTGTCTCAATTTAGTATGTAAAATGAAATTAAAACTCAAATCAACCATAAGTACCATCCTCTCGCGATTTTTCTGTATCTCTCGCCCGCGCTTGATCTATCTCCCAAATCCCGCCGATTGGTCCTCCTTGTCGTCGGCCTATGCACGGCCAGGGGTCGTCTAGACCGGCCTTCTCCACCCTCTGATGGTTTGCTCCTCCGTTTCACTGTGGAGGACGGTGATTAGGGCTGGCGGCGATTAGGGCTTTTGTCCCCGATTGCGGGAGGCTGCTTAAATTGACGGTAGCGCCTCTCCCGATCGAAGTTGGCGATGGACCTGAGTCGGGATTCATCTCTTCCAGCGTTGCCTATGTATTGTCTGGTGGTGGTAAGTCTCGTGCTCTCGCCCTGTCTACTCTGATTGGGTTTGGCCGTTTTCGGCTGGTCTCCACCTCTCCGGTGGGGCTCAGTTCTCTGGTCGTCAGCTCGCTGTGGTGGGCGGATGGGGTGAGTGTCGTTGGGTGGGAAGGGACCCTGATGGCTGTGGCGTCTCACGCTGTGGTGGTTAGGGTTGAAGGTCCGGTCTTCGACCACCATCTTGGTTCGGCTAGTGGTGTTAGGTGGCTGGGATGTGGTGCTATCTGACTCGTCTAGTGGTGTTAGATAAGTTCAGGTGGTATCAGTGTGGGGGTTGATTGCGGCTCTCTCGGTCAAGGTGGGTCGATTCGGGGAGGGGTTTGGGGTTCAGTTTAATCTACTGTATAGGCCTTATGCAGTTTCGGTAGAGGCTTCTGGACTTTAATCCTTCTTGGGTCGATCGTTTCACTGTTTGTTGGGCTAGGTCGTGCGACGAGGAAGGGCTCCTTTTGTTTTGTTTTCGTTTGTTTTTTTTCTTGTAGGTGTTTGTTGCTGTTGTTATTTGTGCTAGTTGTGTGTTTCTGTTGTTGCTGTATTTTAGGTTTGGGCCATTTGGCCCCGGTTCGCTCGAGTGTGACCTTATTATCTTGTTGGGATCCCACACTCGAGCACTACCCTGTTGAGGTCGTTGTAGTGTTGTGTTTTTTACCCTGTTGGGGTCGTCTTAGTGTTGTGTTTTTGTTTTGTTAGGATTACCCTGTTAGGGTCGGTTTTAGGCGGTCTTCGACCTGTCCTCCCAATTTTATTCAGCTGGTGGCTGGGTGTGTTTTCAGCTGGTGGTTGTACTCTTGCACATTTGTGCCTTTTATATATCACTTATATCGTTTCGGAAAAAAAAAAGTATGTAAAATGAAGGAATTATTTTCTTCAATGTAAAATACTATTTTATGACATTACTTATTACTCTCGCCACTAAAATATAGTAGCCTAGATGAACAGTAGCCGAGAAATGTGCCACTATAAATAGTTTTGAGGGTCCATTAATAAGGGGCCCCAAGTTCCGAAAAAAGACGCATTTAATTCACAGAACAATAGCAATCAGAAGGATTTGTCTCGCATTATATACTTAATCCGACCTCGTTTGGCCTGGAGGTACCGACCTCTAGGAGCCTGGTAAGGTAACCGTGTGACGGATATATAATTATTCATAATATTTTTCATAGTTATCTACTTATCTTTGGTATCCATATTAGTTATTTTTAGTATCTAGATATTTGATTTGATATGATCTCATTTCTTGTAATCTCTATATATTTCTTGTAATTCCTCTACTACGCAAACAATGAAAACAATTCTCTTCTTCTTTAACATGTTCTCTCTTATGATTTTAGCATGGTATCAGAGCGGTGAATTTCGCCGCCGACATCATACCTAAAAATTTTGTTTCACCATCACCATCACCATATTCTTTCTTTCGTCATCATGTCAACTCACCCTTCAAATTATAAAACTATATCACCATATGATATCACGTCGAGTGATAATCTCGGATGTTTGATCTCTACGGTTCTCCTCACATGACAAAATTATATTGAATGGTCCTCTTCGCTCTGGACGGCTATCTAGGCACGAAAGAAATTTGGTTTTCTCGATGGTTTCATTCCCACACCAGCCGACAACTCTCCGGTCTTTGAAGATTGGTTCGTCAATAATTCTATGTTGGTCTCATGGATAAAGAATACGATCGATCCGACACTTCGACACTCCATCCCTCAAATTAAACTAGCCAAATAATTATGGGATCATCTTTGTCGTCGTTTCTCCGTTGTTAACGGCACTCGAATACAGAAATTGAAAGGTGAATTGGCTTCTACAGTACAAAAAGGTATGACTGTCAGTGCATATTATGGCAAGCTGCGTATGTTATTCGATGAACTAAAATCGTATCAACCACCGATCGCATGTACTTGTGGACATGCCCGTGAATTCGAGGCCCATAGAGACGCTGAAGAAACTCATTAATTTTTATTGGGTCTGGATAAAGAGGTGTTTGGGTCGGCCCGCTCCAGTCTTTTGGCCCAAGATCCGTCTATTCTGTTATTTCACTGGAAGAAAAACTTTCTTCTCCATTTGTTCCGACAACCGACGTGATGAGCTTCACCACCACCGCAACACGCCATTCATCTTCCAAGTCTTCTCGTTCTTCACGCCAGTGCAACATCTGTGGTCGATCTGGACATGATGCCACAATTTGTTTTCGGGTTAAACTATGCCCCCATTGCAACCGGACGGGTCATGACTCTCGTCGATGCTACGAAATCGTTGGCTATCCTCCAAGATGGTCCGGCTCATCTAAGACAACTCCTACTTGTTCATCTCTGACGACACAAGGGAACAACACCTCCGTCTCTTCGGCTGGGCATGGTCGAGGGTCTATTTCTTCTAATTCGGCCAAAGTCCACGTTGCAGGTGTTATTGGGACCATTGGGTCTGATCTTGTTGGCCCAGTTCTGTTAATCCTCCTATCCATTTTGGCACTTACGGGACTAACTCAGTCTCAACATCTACAGGTTTGAGTCCAGATCAATGACAGACGTTAGTTAATCTTGTGCATCCTAATAATTCTGAGCCTGCGGCTTCTAATCATTTAACTGGTAAGGATTACTCTTGTAGATGGATGTATGATTGTGGTGCTACACATCACATGACTGGATTTTTTCAGTATCTAGTTGATATTTGTGATATCACACCTCGACGAGTGCAGCTTCCTGACGACCATTTGACTATTGCGACTAAAGCCGGGAAAGTTCGTCTTAGTCAAAATTTGGTCTTGATAAATGTCCTATTTGTTTCTAGTCTTAAGTGCAGGCTCATTTTGTTATTTCACTTACTGGATGATCATGGGTGTATAGCCCAATTCACTAATGTTGATCGTCTTATACATGACCGTACTACGAGGACAGTGATTGGTCTGGGTGAACAAAATAGGCTAGTGTGTTTGTTGGCAGTTCTGTGGATTTGTGGCATGAACGGTTGGGACACCCACCCCCTCAGGTTATTGGGAAATTATGTAATTTGGCTCCTAGTCATGTTAGCAGTTTTAATAAAGCTTCCGATGGTTGTTATCGTGCCAACCATACTAGAGATTCTTTTCCTTTGAGTGACAATACTAGTTTGGATCGCTTTAATTCATTGTGATTTATGGGGTCCGTATCTAATCCCTTTGTTTTCTGGAGCAAGATATTTTTTTGACAATTGTTGACGATTTCTCACGAGTTGTGTGGCTTTATCTGTAGAATGACAAAAGTTGTGTTTATGCTACTTTGACTGGTTTTTTCGCCATGGTGCAACGTCAGTTTAATACACTTTTAAAAGTTATTAGAAGCGATAATGGAACTGAATTTACCTGTCTCACTTCATATTTTTGGGAAAACGGTATTTTACATGAGACATCTTGTGTTGCCACCCCTCAACAGAATGGTCGAGTAGAATGCAAACATCGCCATATTCTAAATGTGGCGCGTACTCTGCATTTTTAGGCTAATCTACCCATTGAATTTTTGGGACACTGTGTCTTGACTTTTGGATATTTAATCAATCGTACTCCCACTACCGTATTACATGGGAAAACTCCTTACAAGGTTCTTTTTGGTAAACCACCACCTCTTAACCACCTTTGTGTTTTTGGTTGCTTGTGTTATGTTCATAATTTGATATCATTCAGGAGATAAATTTGCTAGTCGTAGCAAAAAGTGTGTTTTGTGGGCTATTCTTTTGGGAAAAGGGGATGGTCAGTTTTTTATATGGACACTCGAAAATTTTTGGTTTCTCGAGATGTTAAATTTTGTGAGAACCAGTTTCCTTTTTCTGCGCCACCTGCTTATGAGTTTGATTATGTACCACTTCATTCTTCTACACCGTGGCCTACTACTGATGATTCGTCTTCATCGACTCATGATTCTGCGCTGGTCAACTCTCTCGACCCAGCATCCTCATCTCTTTCTAGAGATACTGAGGTCAGAGGGGTTCTGACTCTATGGTCTCTACTGAGCTCTTGGGACGTGGCCACCGGACGAAGTTTCCTTCCGTCAGACTACGAGATCATGTCACCAACACTATTATAGCCCCCTCGTTCACTCGTCAACCACTTCATCATCCTTAGGTACACCTTATCCTCTAGTTCATTTTGTTGATATCACTGTTTTCTCATATGCCCATAAGATTTTTTTGGCGGCGATAGAGGCATCTGTCAAGCCGCGGACTTTTATCGAGGCCATGACTGATTCTAATTGGCGCTCTGCCATGCAGTCTGAAATTCAGGCTCTTGAAAACAATCATACTTGGACTCTTGTTCCTCTTCCTCCTGGTAAAAAGGCTATTGGATGTAAATGGGTGTATCGCGTCGAACATCGGTCTGACGGGTCTATTGAACGTTACAAAGCCCGTTTGGTTATTCTTGGGAATAATCAGGTCGAGGGTATCGACTATACTGAGACTTTTGCTCCCGTTACAAAGATGGTGACTGTTTGTTATGCTTTTGTGCTTATTTTTATGTGTTTATATGTGTGTTCAAGTCGATTTTAGGTTCGTTTTAGTGTCGACCGGTCCATTTTATCGTGTTTCGTGCGTTTTTATTCTCGTATTGTGTTTTTGTGTTTCGGCGTATTTTTCTTGTCTTTTTGGTGTTGTTTAGGTCCACATTATTCGATCTTGGGAAGACGAACCATTTGCGAGATATTTCCGAGCCGTCCAAATCATGTCCGAGCCACACTAACCATTTTCGAGTCGTTCCGAGTGTACTTATTAAGTGCGTGGTGATATCTATTTGCGCATCTCAAGATGAGGAGATCGAGATTTAGGAAGCGTGGGTAAAATTTTCAAGTCAATTGGATAAGTGTACGATAAATTAGAGCTTTTTAAAGGCAAGCCACAACCAACGGACCATGACCGAGCCCTTACTCGCGCGCAGCACACCCGCGCCCGCGCGCGCCCCAGCACAAGCCTTGGCGGCCAGCCCGCGAGCTCGTGAAAAAATTTGCGACATCCAGAGTGCTCTCCACTCATGCCCATGAGCTCGTGGAAATTTCCGCGACGTCGAGAGTGTCCCGCAGCATGCCCGCACCGCGCCCCAGTGGCCAGCGCACGCCCGCGAGCATCGGCCCATTCTGCGACCACGCGAGTGCTCCCACGCCATACCAGCCCCGTGCCAACTCGCGAGCTTGCAAATTCCGTGGCGACCTCGAGAGTGTTTGACTAAATGTGCATGCTTTTAGTGTGTGTTTGTGATGTAGCTATAAAAAGACATTGTGCTTTGTAATTTTGGACATCACCCTCATTTCCCAACTTTTATGTTGGAAAAATCCTCTCTATTTTATTTTTTCCTTGTTTATATTTCGGTTTGGAGCATATGAATCAAGTTTTCCGACGAATTTCCGGCGACATTGTTTCGAGTAAAGTTTCGATCTTTTGACTCCGTTTCTCCTTCCAAGTGCGTGTAAGAATGGGTACTTAGTCTTAAGCCTCATTACTTCGTATATCTTTTTTTTCCTTTTGTAAAAATTGATATTGTGCTTGAATTGCTTGAAGGAAAAGATTAAATTTTTAGATCGTGAATGCTTGACTAAGTGTGATTAGAAGTTAAATGTTTGCTCGTCTTGTGCTAGAGCTTGGTTTAGCTTCCTACGGTTTTAGCTAGCATGACAATGTTCGGTTATTTGTGTGGGATTGATCATAGAGACTACGGCGAACCAAAATCTCTCTTCCCCCTTGATTTCTCTCATCTTCTTGCGTGTTTTCTCTTGCCTTGTTAATTGCTTTCGATTGTCCTCAATTTCGTAGATTAGTTTAGCTTAAATTCATCCCCTCAAGCGAGTAGCATGTTTAGGACATTTTCAATTGTGTGATTTGGCGACTAGATAGTGAACGAAGTTCCGAAGAGCCTTCCTTTGAGAACGACCCGAGTCCGGGTAACTCGGTTACCAATTGCCCAAAAGTACTACAAACGTTCGTGTTTTTCTAGCTGTTGCTGCTGCTCGACAGTGGGAATTGCATCAGATGGATGTTCACAATGCATTTCTGCATGGTGATCTTGATGAAGAGGTGTATATGAAATTGCCTCCTGGTTTCCGAACTAATGCCTCTGATCTTGTTTGTCGTTTGAAACAGTCTCTATGTGGTCTTAGACAGGCTCCCCGATGTTGGTTTGCGAAGCTCACTACGACACTCCGACAATATGGTTTTCGTCAATCTTATGCCAATTACTTTTTTTTACCTTGTGTCGTAATGGGGTTCAACTACATGTGCTCGTCTATGTCGATGACCTAGTCATTTCCGGGAATAACAGTCGCGCTATTTCCTCTCTCAAGGCTTATTTAAGCCATTGTTTTCATATGAAGGATCTTGGAATTTTGAAATATTTTCTGGGTTTGGAAGTGACTCGAAATTCCTCTGGTATTTTTTTGTGCCAGCGAAAGTATGCTCTTGACATTCTGTCCGAGGTTGGTCTTTTCGAGGCTAAGCCCAACTCCTTTCCACTCGAACAAAATCACAAGCTTCCACTTGCTACCGGTCCTCCACTCTTAGATCTGCAACATTACAGACGTTTGGTTGGCAGACTTATATATCTTGTTGTCACGCGATCGGACTTAGCTTATTCTGTTCATGTTTTGTCTCAGTTTATGCACAAACCTCTCCAAGCTCATTGGGATGCTTCTCTTCAGGTTGTGCGATATTTGAAAGGTAGTCCTGGTCAAGGCATGTTCTTTCGCTCTGACTCTGATTTGCGTCTTACTGCTTGGAGTGACTCTGATTGGGCTGGTTGTCCTCTTACACGTCACTCTCTCACTGGTTGGATTATCCTACTCGGATCGTCGCCTATCTTCTAGAAGACGAAGAAGCAGTCTACCGTCTCTCGCTCTTCTACAGAACCAGAATATCGCTCCATGGCATCCACCACTTATGAACTGACATGGCTGAAATCCCTTTGGGGATGTTTTAGTGTGGATCTTTCGTCTCCAATTTCTTTCTTTTGTGACAGTAAGGCAGCTTTACATATTGCCTCTAATCTAGTTTTTCATGAGCGTACTAAACACATTGAGATTGACTGTCACTTTGTTCGTGACGCATTATTAAGGGGTTTTATTGCTCCTAATTATGTTTCTACCACGACTCAGCTGGCAGATATCTTTACTAAGGCCTTGGGAGAAAAATAATTCAAATATTTTCTCGGCAAGTTGGGCATTCATAATCTTCATGCACCAACTTGAGGGGGGGTGTGACGGATATATAATTATTCATAATATTTTCCATAGTTATCTACTTATCTTTGGTATCCAGATTAGTTATTTTTAGTATCTAGATATTCGATTTGATATGATCTCATCTCTTGTAATCTCTATATATTTCTTGTAATTCCTCTACTACGCAAACAATGAAAATAGTTTCTTCTTCTCTATCATGTTCTCTCTTATGATCTCAGCAAACTGACCTCGCTATGTTTTGAGGTCTAGTGGCCTGAGGACAAGTATGACCTAAATGTGAGGTCGGATCAGACCACAAGGCAAGTTCAAAGACGTCCCCAGAAGGGTCATAGAAAGGATGGGTGAACCAAAATTGGTAGTGTGAAACGTACTCATAAAAAAGTAGAGGCTTTATGGTAGTAGTGAGTGAACCCAAATTCATAAAAATTCCAACGTAACGTGCAGTTGATCCAACAAGTCATCCAACCGACGAATCGAAAAGCGATCCTGGACTGTGATCTTGTTGATTGCTCGACTGTCCACATACATCCGCCAGGACTCGTCATTCTTCGGTATAAGAAGTACAATAACTGCATAAGGGCTCAGACTACGACGTACCACTCCACGCTAGAGGAGTTCCTCGACTTGCCGTCGTAACTCCTCATGTTCTGCTGGGCACATCCGATAATGAGGTCTATTCAGCAAAGATGCCCCTGGGACCAAATCGATGTGATGCTGAATGTCGCGAAGTAAGGGTAAGCCCGACGGGATCTCCTCCGGAAACTCATCGGCAAACTCGGACAAGAGAGGACGGATGGCAGTGGGCAGTGTCCGCTCCTCACCTGTGTCAATCCCAATAAGCAAACATACGAACGGGGAATCACACATCTCTGCCAGAAAAGCTGCCCGTGATAGAACAAGAACTGATGACGTAGAATTCGGCTACGACACCGAACGAGGGGCAGTAGGAAGCAAAATAATCTTCACCCCACCAAACACAAATGAGTATATGTTGAGTCGACCGTCATGAGTTGCCGCCCAATCATACTACCACGGGCGACCCAACAACAAGTGGCATAAATCCATCGGAACTACATCACACCACACCTGGTCACGATAAGTGGCACCAATGGAAAACGAAACAAGTGGTCGCCGGTCAAACGTTACTGCCGTACCTTTCTGTATCCATGCAATAGTATATGATTGCGGGTGAGGTTCTATAGAAAGTTGCAATTTGTCGACTGCCTCCTGAGCCATGACATTCTCACAAGAGCCCGAATCAATAATAAAATGACACACTTTGTTACCCAACGTACACGTAGACTCAAACATATAGTGTCTCTCCATGGGCGTATCACTCGAATCTCGTGGTACCAAACATGTACGACGAATTACCAAAGTTGTACCCACATCTCCCGCCACATACTCCTCAACCTCCCCAGGCTCGACATCATACACTGGCAGACCCACGTAACCCTCGCTGGTAACATATTCTCTGACATCTTCTATAAATAAGGCTCGTGTTGTAGCACCCATCGAACACACTGTCTGTCGATGGCCAATCTCTCCACAACCAAAACAACGGAGACCCGCAACTGCACGCGAGGCCGCCGGTGATGGCTGCTGTCTACCATCTCCTACAGTCGCTTGTATGGCCCGCCAGTCCTCGAAACGTGCGCCGGTGCATCTCCCTGGCCCATACCACCACCCGTCGCAACCAAGGTCGTGGTTGTGATGTTGCAGCTCCCGTGGCTCCCCCTTGACGCGAGTACGACCCGAGAGCGGCGCCTGACTTCTGTGCAAGCGGAATCTCAACAAAAAATGGCCTATAACGTAACTTCTTAATGGCTCGAAACTAAAAAAATATCAAGTTAGATGACCAACATTATCATGTCACTTGTTTTGTTAGTGGGCAAGCCTCACCTTTTACAAGACCCGCCAACAACTAATCCTGATTGTATGGATTAATTAAGGTACAAAAAAATAAGAATACTCAATCAGTGACTTATAATTTTACACGGGACAAATTAGCGAACCCAATCTCAAACAGCGGTCAATTATCAGTTAATGTCAATGAATATTTTATTTATTTTTATGGTACATCAAATTTAATTATTATATTTTATTTATATTCATTTACAATATCAAATCTCTCTAATTTTTCAAGGAATGTCTTTTTCTACATTTTCATCAATGTTTACAATGGGATAATTTTTTTTTTTTTTATTAAATTAATTGTTATACCCAATTGCAGTTAAAATACAAGAATCTTTGAGAAAGTTGTTTTATTCAAGCGGCTTGGCTAGAAAAATGGTTCAACACTTATTATTCAAAAGGATTACATTCAAAGCAAGTTAATTATTAATTCTTTGAATGAAGAAAACAATAGCTTACCAAACAACAAAGCTACATAGAGATCATATTTTCTAAAGCCATGCACAATTAAAAGATACTAATTTTTTTTTTTCAAACGACAATTAAAATTAAAATAATATAGACTATAATCGCTAACTAATTGGTTACTATGATCACTGAAATTGTCAAGCGACAGAAAGAAACGTATTATGGGGTCTCTCTAACATACGAACTCCTCCTTCACATAGAGCAATCTTACAAAAAAAACTCTCAAATAAACGAGACAAAATACGAAATTAAAACAAAAAAAAACACCTAGAATTAGGTGGGCAAAAAATTGTTTAGAAGTACATTGGTCGATATTATGATGCTACAGGTGCGTTCTCAACGTCACCAATTTGAGATAACTTTTTTAGGCTTTTTTCCTCGTTCCGCTTCCCCCAAAGTACGAAGTAAAGCCCTCCGATCAGTAAAATTGCTCCCAACATACTATCACATGAGATATAACATGATACAATATGAGCTATTAACATGTTTCGCGTTATATAATATGAGCTAAACAGATTATTTTTATTCGACAAAACCCAATATATATTAACGTTTACTTTAATTCACTATTTATCTATTCACATTATAATTTTAACGGACTATCACTTTACATTATCTCTCTCTTACTTATATATCGAATCTACTTTAACTATATAATTTTAGACACTATTTTAGTACAAACTTAAAATTCTACAGAGAAACTAACTATACTAGATTTTTGTAAATTATTTATCTTTATGTATTTCTTAATTCTAGCACTTATGTAACACATAATATTGCCCAAATCAATTATACTAATTAGATTCAATTTATTATGTATATATAAGAAACAAATTTACCTGCCGAGGCTAATAGTTGTTCCCAAGAAGGCTGCTGAGAGCAAGATTGTAAAGACCATAACAAGTGGAGTGGCCATGGCCAGATAGACTGGACCTTTCTTCTCAATGATCCATGCTTGCAGGTAAAATGTAAAGCCAGTCACCACTATTCCCTATAATATTACCCAACAAAACATAATATTAATTTAAAAAAAAAAGGTTAATTAATAATTATATATGTAAATATAGGAAGAAATTCAATTTTTGTCCGTTTATTAGTCTAAAGTCTTTTTTTGAAATACTAACTTTAACCTTGTCAACAATTAGTACTGTCATGTTGCAATTTGTATCACTATTGGGACATTATTGCGAAAATGATTCATTATTTTTTGGGATTAATGTCTTAAAAATTAGGAAAAAATTCAAAACTAATCCCACGGGTATAGGGGGTGACATTTTTTGTCCCAACGGAATCTAAAAAATATTAATAGTCCCACAGGTTTTGGGAGGTGACATTTTTAGTCCCAACCGAATCCAGAAAATATTAAATAGTCCCGCCACGTGTGTGGGACGTGGCATTCCGGGCCGAAAAATTGAAAAAAGTCATACTTTTGATCATTTTTTTAAAAGCTGCGGAACTATTAATATTTTTTGGATTCCGTTGGGACCAAAAATGTCATTTTCCTATACCTGTGGGACTAGTTTTGAAATTTTTCCTGAAAATTATAAATTGCAACATAATCTACTGTTTTTGATAAGTAATGTCCCAAAAATAACAAAGTGCAACATAACGTATTATTGGTGATATGAATGTTAAGTGTACCGAAAAAAAAGACCCCACACAAGTAAATGGACAAAAATTTCTAAATATATATTAAGTAAAAAGTGTTAAATAATTGGTGAGACTACATAATTCTAAGTAATCAGGTCAAAGTCAGGGCTGATTTAGAATTATTCCAACAGTGATTTTTCTTTTTTCCTTTTCTTTTTCTAGGAAAATGCTACGTCCTGTTACGAAACAATTTTGTCGGAATTATAACAATTAGATTAAAAAAAAAAAAACTTACACAATAGGCTACAGATAGAAGTCTAATGTTCCATGAAAGTTTCCATTGAGCAAGATCTCTCGTTACACCAACCGCTATTATGCCCGACTGTATCGTGCTCAAAAAACACTGCAGAGTCGTCAACAGCAGCTTCGATGGATAACTTTTCAGCACCCGTCCCTGATAAATATTTCATATTTAATCAAATAAATTACAATAACTTAAATTCATATTTAATCAAAAATGAAGTAATTAAGATTATTATGAGACCTGTAAAACAAGCCACAAAGCCCATGCCAGCTGAGAAAGCAGCATGAGGAAGACGCCCTTAATCCAAGTCGACTTCGACGACGCATTTACTTGGATCGGTTCTGTGTAACTACTGATCAAGTGATCGTGGAGAAGTAATTTGAACAAAGGGCCCCTATAGAATGCGATTATTACAATTCCTCCCACGCAAAGTCCTACCCCAGCTATCTTCATTATTCCAGGGCTCGTCCTTAGATTCAACGTCTCCAGTCTGCAAATTTCAGCAAAATATTGTATTCAAATTGATAAGTAAGAGCCAAATCACCTTATTCAATTTTATTAATGAATTTACCTTAATAGAACAGCAAGGAAGAAAGTTAAAACAGGAAGAGTGTTGGTAGTGGCGGCTCCAAGAGACGCTGACGTGTACTTCAAACCTAGGCCGACCACGTCTAAGCTCACCGTAATTCTGCAAATTAACCACAAATTTGATCAAAAATAATTACCCTTCGAAAAAAAAAATATCGAATATATATACACATAAGTACGTACCCAACAAGGGAGAACATGAAAATCTTTGCGAAAGTCGAGAATGAAAGAGGAGGAGCTCTTTTGCTGTGGATCAGAATAAAACTATTCATCATCATCAACATGAAATTAAGTCGAAGAGAGAAAGACGGAGAGGGAGAGAGAGGGTTATATATGTAATATTGTACGTACCCTTCGACCAAAAGGGCGATGGGGGCCAAGACAAGAGTGCCGGCGGCTTGTCTGTAGCACACAAACACAAAAGTGTTCATTCCCACATCGAAGGCAAGCTTCGTGAGTACGAAGTACACTGCATATATCAACTGTACTGTAACAACAGCCAAGAATGGCTTGTTTATCTCCATGTATGATGAAAAGTACCTTTAACGGCCTTCCTACTTAACATTATCTATGTAAAACCCATATCATGGCTTATGTATATATAGCATGCTAAACATTTATATTCATTCATATACAAAGTGAAGTATTTATTAATGTCACGTTTAGAATGTGTGAGTGACCAGTGGCGGATCTAGGCAGGGTCCGTAGGAGCACGAACCCTATGATTTTTTTTTATTTTTTTTTTTTTGAAAATATGACGTGTGTAATTAATAAGAAAAATATGAGAACACGTAGAGAATTATTATTATTATTATTATTATTATTATTATTATTATTATTATCTTTTTTTACTTTGTGGTTCGCAACTATTTCAAATTTGCGCGACTTTGTGTTTATTTAATTGTTTGATAATTTGCAGGACGCGGTTTGTAGGTATAGAGTTCATATATAGTCACAGAAATCCTTTACTGATTGACGCAAGTGATTTTATGAAAGATGTTAATTAATTTGCCCAACTAGAAGCAAGCAGAGCCCGGTAATCGGTGAGTGATTGTTGGAGGATAATTCATTCAAACATTATTATTTTTTTCAAACATTATTATTTTTTTATTACATTTTTTTTAAGCAAAACACACACACACATATATATAGATGGCCCGGTCACGTCCCGGCCCGCAATCAGACTGTGGGTTGCCGGTTCCGAGAACTGTCACCGTGACTTTACGGGTTGTGTCTGGGTCGAGATCAGGCCGGGACCGGGCTGGGACAGGGCCGGGACAGGGCCAGTTCACAGGCCTGGCCTTTGATTTTTGGCGGGCCCGTTAAGGATCACCCATGGGAGGCCCGCCGGCCCGGCCCATTGACTGGCCATCTATATATTGGACTATTTAATTATTGCTATATTTTTTTATTTAACTATAAGAACTAACCATTATACAGTATTTGGCATTAATTAGATGTGATAACATTTTTTAACTCTTCCATCATATAAAAATGTAATATCCTCTTCACAAAATGTTGAAATTCTTAACGTTTATAATAGCTTTACGTTGAATTTTAATTTCCAATCATTTCAGAAAATAGGGTTATGAAAATTTTGGCATGGTTTAATTAATAACTAGTATTCGACCTGTGCATTTGCACAGATATATAAATAAAGTATTGTGAGTTATTCGTATGCATATGATGGTTAATGATTTTTGCCAAATTTACAATTAAATGAGCTGAAATATTTATTTTTATAAAATTGTGTTTATCATATTGAATGTAATTTATATTTTGGTATGTATTTTTTTTTAATTATTTATTATTATTTATTTAGGAATTTCAAATACATTTTTTATTTTCCAAAAGAAGCTAATTTAAATATAACCACAACAATAACATCTAATCACGTTAAATAGTCAACACATTATATGGTCAGCTGTAAGTAAATCAAAAATTTAAAATGATTTTTGTAATTTTAAAGTGATTAGTGTGTTGATTATCTAATAATTAAATGAGAGATTAAATAAATAAAAAGCAACGGTTTTTTGAGGGAAAAAATTATATTGCCATATAGGTAGAATTTAATAGGTTTTATTAAATACTCATGAACCAACAATTATATATATTTAGATTATTATTATTATTATTATTGTTATTATTATTATTATTATTATTATTATTATTATTAAAAAACAATTGTATATGAGATTCTAAAGTTGTTTGACTATGCCATTAAAACAATTTACTAATTGTTTTTTTTTTTTTAAATAATGAGATACAAAAGAAAAAGATAATATTGATGTTAAAATAAATAATATAATTATGTAACTGTAAACAATTATTTATAATTATGTAATTTATATTTATTGTGAATTATAATTAGCTGGTATTAGCTATAACTATTATATAATATAATATAAACATACATGATTATAATCAATATGGTGTATTAATGTGAGAAGTAAAAAAAATATTAATGATGAATTTTGTAACTGAAAATGGAGGGAAAATTTTAAAGGTTTTATTAAATAGGTTTTATTTAATGCTACATGCTAGCAATTATATATATATAGATAACAACAATCATTATTGTTGGAAACTTAAAAGAAAAAAAAAAGGTGATTAAATGAACAACTTAACATTATAATGGAAATAGTAATAAATAAAGAAATAAAAGTTATTGATACCGACGAATCACTTTCCCTAGTTGAAATATTCTCACAACCAAATGTCAAAAAGAATATCATTTAGGGGCATTTTACGACTTAACATTATATATACATTAATATTTTTTCCACCGAATACTCTCAATTTATTTGAAAATTTCGTATTTTCTACTAAAATAAGATATTTTGTAAACATTCTAACATCTATAGTTCTTATATATGACTTATGAGCTAACACTGAAATATACTATAAGTACATACAAATTATCATCATAATGATTATACATAAATTAATTATAAATTACCAAATAATATAAAATAATTATAAGTCAAAGTTTGAAAATAGTGGGAAATTTACTGGGTTCTTACTGAATCAATATATATTTAAATATAAAGAGGTAATTTTTTTTTTTTTTGGGTTTAAATTTAATAACTATATAGCTTTCATCACAACTAGTACGAATTCCATGTGAGACACGGGCAAGATATTTCATTAATATGTAATTAAAAATTCTCATTAGATAATATTTACCAATTAAAAATATGGAGTCAGTAATACAATTTACCTATTATAATTATTTAAAATATTATATGTAATTTATCGTGAAAAATTATACTACCTCATATTTTTTTAAATGTCATTTTGGCTTTACCAACATGTACATATTTATTCATTATTACCCTCATCTAGCTAATAAATACACTACGTCTCTTCAAATTCACTTTTTATATTTTTTTCAAAACATCATCTCTAGCCTCATTAATAAGGGTTACTATTGGCAAACAAAATATTCTTAATTATTATGTAACTTCCCAAAACGACGCTTATTAGAAATAGGAGGGAGTATAAAACATGTCTATTTAAAAAATTAATACACAACCCGTATAGTGCACATAACTGATAGTAAATTACATTATATTCATTTTAAAATAAGTGTCATTTTAAATTGTTTATTCACAAATTTGATTTATATATTATGAATATACTAGTACAACGCCGTGTATTACACGGGTGCTTGCTATTTTTTTTTTCTTAAAATCTAAAATTAATGAGAAAAAGTAATTGAAAAATTAAATACCCTTTATGAAAATATATTATTATATATTTAGTATGACACTTTTTTATTTGTGCGACTTACTTGTGTTATATTATAATAATTTTTTAACTTACAACATATAACTACATTAAACATAAATATATCAATTGAGAAATAATTTTCTTTTTCTAATGAATTTTAATAAATATTATTATTTTTTATTATCATAAAGGTAAATATAATTTATTTATTTCATATGTACATTATGGATGTCAAATCGAAGATCATCAAAAGATGATAAATTTGATATATTATATATATAAAACCGATAAAAAATACAAAAGTTATCAACTTTTAAAATACATTTACAATTAAATAACTAATTGAAGGAAACAAATCAAAAGTCAGGGATATATTAGTCACTTAATGTCCCACTATGTAAATTACAAAGAAGTAAAGGGTTATATTAGTACAAGTAATATTAAAATACCTAAGTTAGCTATTTAATATTTATGGAATGCCCGTACCTAGATTATAAATTATTAATATATCAACATTATTTGTCCAAACCTAATTACGAATCATGATTCCTTGCCAAATAGGATTACGAAGCACCAGAAGCAGCCATGTAGGCTCAGCGCATTCGGGAATAATATATAGGGAGGATGTTACGATTTAGGATATATATGAATTAAATAAATAGATACATCGCATAACGAGATATTTGCCGAATTTATGGAAACACGTTTTTTTTTTTATTATTTTCTATAAATATATTTATTAACTACACAATATATGATATAAACACTTCAATACAACGACACATTAAATGTTTCAAACCGCCCAATAAAAAGTTAAGTTTTTCACCTCGAAAAGTGCAAAAGTTATGCGAAAATTGTCGCATATTCATTGCATAACTGTAGCATATGCGAAGGTTATGCGAAAAACTGTCGCATAACTGTCGCACATCAATTGCATAACTGTCGCATATTCATCGCACAATGCCTTCGCACTTTAACTTTTTTTCACCCCAGAAAGTGCAAAGGGATATGCGAATGTCTTCGCACTTTAAACTTTCGCACAATGTCATCGCACAATTGTCGCATATTCATCGCACAATGCCTTTCGCATTTTCTGAGGTGAAAAACTTAGCTTTTTATTGGACGGTGTGAAAAACTTTACAAGACCTCAAAACAGGGTGAAAATAACTATTTTCACTAAACCGTATTTATCTAAAGTGAAGTTCCATAAGATGTTGGGAAATAAGGTCGGATAAGATGGAATAATAATAACACACCAATGTGAAATCAATAAAAGACACGAAAGTTTGTTAACCCAGTTCGGATTAAATCCTACGTTTGGGGGCGAACCAAGCCAGGAGAATGAACTAGAAGAAGAGGATAAACCGAATGTTACAACTCACACAAGCCCGTATAAATACACTCTCTCTACTCTTTTTCTCTCTATCTCTCTTGTTATGTTTTCTTTTGTTGTGATTTTTACATCATGATTCTAGCTCTATTTATAGAGAAAGAATGCATCAAAACTTCTACAAATGTTTGCTAACATTTTTATCCCACGGTGTGCTACTCTATTTTTTTATTTTTCTTTGGTAGTTAGAAAGAAAATGGGTTGTTGCCCATTGACTTAACAATCTCCCACTTGAGGACTGATTTCAATATGTCCTTACACCTCATTGATCAACATGTTCATCTCTGCTCCTAGTTCTACCGGGTCTGTCTGTTTTAATTATCAAGGCCGGTCGAAGCTGCACACAGCTTCAACTTTTCCAAAGTTACCACCTTGGTCAACACGTCTACAGGATTTCTCTCTCCCGGAACCTTTTTCAGCTGCAACACCTTCTTCTCTAGAAGTTGCCGGATGAAATGATACTTAACCTCGATGTGCTTCGTTCGCGAGTGAAACGCGGGGTTCTTTGCCAGATGGATTGCACTCTGGCTATCGCTGTATAGAGCTACATCCTCTTGAGGTCTTCCAAGTTCATTCAGGAAGTTTTGCAACCAAACGAGCTCCTTGGCTGCCTCCGTCACTGCCACGTACTCAGCTTCCGTTGTGGACAATGTGACTATCTTCTGCAGTTTCGAGATCCAGGATACGGCCGTCCCGCCGTAAGTGAACACGTACCCAGTAGTACTCCTCCTCTTGTCAAGATCACTTCCTGCAAAATCAGCATCGACAAACCCAGACAGGGTAAGGGTACTCCTGCCAAATACCAATGCCCGGTCCTTAGTACCCCTCAGGTACCTAAGAATCCACTTTACCGCCTCCCAGTGCATCACTCCAGGATTGCTCATGAACCGGCTGACTACTCCCACTGCATGTGCTATGTCTGGCCGGGTGCAGACCATAGCGTACATCAGGCTCCCTATAGCCGAAGCATAAGGCGTAATTCTTATCCTTTCCTTTTCAGAGTCATCCTTGGGCGAATCCTTATTGGACAATCTGAACTGGCTTCCCAGTGGCACTCCAACCGGCTTTGCAATATCCATTTTGAATCTGCACAACACCTTCTCAATATGATCAGATTGAGAAAGCCAAAGTTTACCAGCATTTCTGTCCCTCGTGATTTCATGCTCAATATCTGTCTCGCTTCTCCTAGATCCTTCATATCAAATCTCCTTGATAGCTGATCTTTGAGCCTCTCGATTTCCTTGACATCTGATCCTGCTATCAGCATGTCATCCACATATAGCAGTAAAATAATGAAAGAGTTACCGAACCTTTTCACATAGCAACAATGATCAGCATTACACCTAGAGTATCCAATCTCCAGCATGAAATTATCGAACTTTCGATACCACTGTCGAGGAGCCTGTTTCAGTCCGTACAAGCTCTTCTTTAGGCGGCAGACCTGCTGATCATTTCATTTATACCCCTCTGGCTGCACCATGTAAATTTCTTCCTCGAGATCCCCATGCAGAAAGGTCGTCTTCACATCTAACTGTTGCAACTCCAAGTTTTCCGCCGCTACCATGCTTAACGCTAGACGAATAGTGGTTAACTTAACAACAGGTGTAAAAACATCGGTAAAGTCAATACCGTATCTCTGTTGGAATCCCTTTACTACAATTCTGGCCTTGTACCGTTTTGTTCCATCGGATTCCTCCTTGACCCGATAGACCCATCTGTTTTGAAGCGCCTTCTTTCCTTGTGGGAGATCACACAAATCCCATGTGTGGTTCTTCTTTAACGAGTTCATCTCGTCATCCATCGCAAGCTCCCACTTGCTCTTGTGGGCATCTTTAACTGCCTATGATAACAGTCGGGTTCCCCAGAATCAGATAAAAGTAGGTAATAAAGAGAAGGGGAGTACCTATCCGGGGCCCTTCTCATCCTCGGTTCTCGGCCCAGTGCCAGAGACGTGCTGCTCTCAGCAATCGGTTCATCCGAATCTGGTTCTGCCTCTTCTTCTGTACGCTCGATCTCATCTATCTGAGCTCCCACTGAATCTGCTGGTCTCATGATTCCGGTATTTGAAATATCGAGACCAACATACTCCTGCATGGTCTTGTCATCGTCCGGGTATTTCTTCCGGTCCTTGTACATTATGCCTTCATTGAACACCACATTACGACTGCGAATAATTTTCCAATTTTGATCATCCCAAAATCTATACCCAAATTCGTCAGTCCCATATCCAATGAATGTACATTTGACGGACTTAGCATCCAGCTTTGTCCGGTCATCGTTCAAAACGTAAGCCAAACAACCAAAGGTACGTAAGAAAGAGAGATCAACTTCATTACCACTCCAGACCTCTTCTGGAATTTTGTTGTTCAGTGGGACAGAAGGCCCTCGGTTGATCAAAAAAGCGGCCGTGCTGACTGCTTCTTCCCAAAACATCTTGGGCAGTCCACTCTTCAATCGCATGCATCTCGCACGCTCATTCAGTGTCCTGTTCATCCTCTCCGCAATGCCATTTTTTTGAGGTGTCCCTGGGACCGTCTTCTGCATCTGGATCCCATGATCAGCGCAGTATTCCTTGATGGCTTCACTGTTGTACTCGCCACAGTTGTCGGATCTGAGACATTTCACTTCCAGACCTGTCTCTTTCTCCACGAGTGCTCTCCATCTCCTGAAAGTATCAAAGGCTTCGGATTTTCTTTTCAGAAAGTACACCCATACCTTTCTTGTGCAATCATCGACGAACGTCATGTAGTACATCGATCCTCCAAGAGATGTTACCGGTGTTGGCCCCCATAAGTCAGTGTGCAAGAGCTCCAGTTTTTCTGTCTTTGGAGCTCTCCCGGTGGTTATGAAGCTCACTCGCT